AGATTTGGAGACATTTTTGGTTGTTACAGCTCGGGGAGTGGTGTTCTCTCGGCATCTAGTGGGTAGAGGGCAAGGATGCTGCTCAGCATCCTACAATGCACACAGCAGCCCCCACCACAAAGAATCATCCTGATCAAAATGTCAGTCGTGCCGACACTGAGGAACCCTCCCTTCGATGAAGTCTTGGAAAGAAAGAAGCAAATGAGCGGGAGCTAGGGGCAATGCGCTCCCTCCTGACGGGGGAGGGGGTGGTCCGCCCCATAGCTCAGGGGGACTCCTCGGCCCCCTCCCTGGCTCATTCCTCCTGTTCCTCTGAACACCCAGCCCCGAGCCCAGTTCCTGAACAGACCTGGCCACACTCCCAACAATGCACCAGTTTAATTGGGTTAAGTGGCCATTAGCAGCAAAAGCAGGGCGGCTGTGTGCAGAAGGGTTTTTAATTCTACTCTTTAAATGATGCTCGCTCTCCAGAGAGGCAACGGAGGGTGGGAACACTGCCCACTGGAGCCCCCCCCTCAGATCCAAGGCTGCAGCTGCACCACCCCCTGTCCCATCCATCTGGGCCTCACGGGGCTGGGCTGGGAGGGGTGCTCAGTGTCTGTCTCCACTGCCCAAGGAAGAACCTATGGGGGCAGGGACTTGCCCAAGGTCACTGGGTCATCTCAGAGCAAGCCTCTGTCAGAGGAGGCCAGAGCCCCATCCCTTCTTCCCTCAGTCCTGCCCCCCTGCAGACAGTCAATGCCATGTGATTGCACAGAGGAGGGTGGCACTGCGGGGGGCAGTCTGTGGGGTCTGAAGCCCAACTGCCCAGATCTAAAGCCTGAGTTTGGTGTGAGACCCGGGGCCAGTGGCTTAACCTCTCTGGGGCTCAATTTCCTCAAATGTAAAATGGGGATAAGATACCTTGGTTTGTAGAGAGGATCTGGAGAGATCTGGAATGTTCTGGCTCATCTTAGGCTGGGCACTTGGCAGGCCCTAAGAAGGAGGCCAATAACCATGGGAGGGAATTATTTTTGCCCATTTTAAGGGAAATGTTCTGACCTCTGAATCTACACAGAATTATCTGAGGAGCACTGAAAAATATTGGCGCCCAGGCCCACCCCTGGGGAATCCGAGGTATTTGGTTTGGGTTGGGGCCTGGGCATCACGATTTAAAAGCTCCTCAAGTGACTCCAATGTTCAAGCAGGTTTAAAAACACTGTGTGAGGACAAAGGTACAAAAGCACAGCATCTGGAAAGGTCTTGGCCCTGGGGACAACGGGAAGTACCTGAGGTGGAGCATGGGGAACATGGCAATGTAGGAACGCCAGAGCTTAAGGGCCAGGGTCTCTAGATCCTGGATCCCCAAAACCAGGCCTCTCCACGGCCTCTGGCTTGTTTGAAGTTGGAGATAAGACGGTCTCCCCAAGAGCAGGCTTCTAGCCACATGCATGTCCCTCAGTGCTCTGGCCTTGGGCTTCCCATTCTCTGGGAACCGAGACAACTAAGCCACAGTGGCCATGGCCTCACCATTGAGAGGAGGCTGGAACCCCCTGCATTGGGGTCACGCCTCATCTTATCAAGGCCGTGTCTCTTCCTGCAACCTCTCCCCTAAGCCACACAGCAGAGGTGCCAGGGATGGTGGCACAAGCTTTGGGGACACTGGTTTTTCTTTGTGGCCTTTATAAACGATGGCTCCTGGAGCTGTGAGACCAGAAGTACCAGGCAGGGATGGTTTCATGTCCCTATTTTACAGAGGAGGGTACTAAGGCCTGGGACGGGACTAGACCAAGTACTGTATGAGGGCAGGCACAGGGCCTGTTCTCTCCCTGTCCCCCCAGCACCGCCAGGCATGCAGTAGGCCGTTAGTGAGCTGGATGACTCATGGAGGAAGAACAACAACCAGGAAGAAATGACCTTTCTGAGGGAGGGGCTGTGGGTCAAGGGCCCAGGAGGGAGCACAGCAGAGTCCTGATTTGGGTCCCTCTCTGCCTCCACTGTGCTGTAAGAACTCAGGCACCTCCCCTTCCCTACTCCTGGGACTCAGGACCCTTAGAACGTGGGCCCTGGCTCAGGGAACCCCTCTCCCTGGGCAGTATAAGTCACAAGACAGCTCCTCTCTGTGTGTCCAAAGCTGAGGCCCAGCAGGTTTCCTGGATTTGGGAATGCTGGCTGCCTGTGCTGCAAGGTCCCTGACCTAGCCTACTCCTGATTGACTCTTGGCCCCATAAATCACCGTGCAGCTCAGAGAAACTCGAAACAAACATCTGATTGTCCCTGATTAAATGAGACCATGAACTTCCGTCCTGCGTTGCTCAGATCCCTCTTTGCAAGCCCCAAATTAAAATTCCAGACCAGAGCAAGAGGATTTAAATTGGATTACTGGATGGGGTCCAGGGAGAGAGGAACAATGGAGTGGGGAGTGAGGGGTCCAGCCCCCCACATCGTACCCAGGCTGCAAACAAATGTGGAAAAGGAGAGAAGGACCAGAACTTGATTAAAAGCAAATTTAAAACGTAATTAAGACCAAAGCTCATCCTGAACAATTAGGACCAAGGCAGGGGGAAGGAAGGTTGTCCTCTGCTTCCTCTGGGGATATGGAAAGAAGCATCCTGTGGGCCGAGGGCCAGAGGTGCTGCAGCAGGGGGAAGCTTGTGGGCCAGGGGCGCTGGGAAGGCGAGGGCCGTGGGCTCTGTGCCTACCTTGGGAATCACGTGGGGAGTCAAGAGCCTGGCCTCACATCAGAGTGACCTGGGTTCACATCCTGGCCTGAGGCATGCCCGAGTCTCAGTGTCCCTCCCCTCTGTGAAGTGGGCCTCCCTCACACGGCTGCTGTGGGAGTGGCCTGTGGCAGACACGCACGTGGTGAGTGCCCAATCAGTGAGTGCTCTTTCCATCATTCTTCTGTTGAGAGTAATTTGTATTTGGCGCCAACGGTGGACCAGGCCATGGGCTAGGCTGCAGATGCGGGGGGGCGGGGGGCGGGAAGGAGAGAGCCATCTGCCCTGCCTCATGGGGTGGGGTACGGCCTGGGGGGGTGCAGGTAGAGGGTTGGGATCAGAACCCAGGCCTTGGGCTCTCCCCTCCCTGCCAAGCTGTCAAGGTGGATTAGTTGTCTAGGAGTAGGGGGAGAGGAGCTTGGGGAGGGACCCCAGCGCTGTAGTGCCCAGAGAGGTTGGGCAGGGGGCTCCACGTGTGGAGAGCAGGTCAGGCATCTGTCATTGTCACCACTCAGCACCCCTCACTGAGGTGACTCTTCCTAAAGCTGGGGTGGGCCCTGAGGGCCCAAAGGATGCCTCTTCCCAAATTTATCAAAAGGTTTCAACTCAAGCTCAGGGCTGGAGGCCTGCACTTTGTAAAGTGGAGCAAAGCAAGGAAGTAGTGGGCAAATGAGGATCTGGAATGAATGGGACAGAGAGAGACAAAGAAAGGAAAGGAGGGGAGAGCACCCAGGTCAGGCCCAGTCCTAGGAAAAGCAAGGAGGACATGATGTGCTGGGTGGATGGGGCAGCAGAGTGTTTCTCACCGTCACGGGAGACACTCTTGGACCCCGCAGGGACTGCTGTCCCAGCTAAAGACTGGGCTTTGCCTCCTTCCCATGGCAGGTCCTTTCTCTAATTGTCTCCCCACCTGTGACCAGGAGATCCTGAAGGTCAGGCTGGGCTGGACTGAGCCCAGCTCTGGGTCGTCTGGATCCACACTTGGGTGGGAAGCCCTCAGGGTCCACCGCCTCTGGGCCTCTGGTCCCAGGAGGCCAGTCTCTCCCTAGTCTATGATTCCAGGTCACACAGGATGAGAAGGGGACCCCAGGGGGACAGCAGGGCCCAGCTGCTGGGGAGGGGGGTCCTAGTTCTCTCCTGGGGCCTGGAAGTGGTGGGTGACTGCCCTGATCTGACCCAGCCAGGCCCCTGGCCTGAGCCTGGGTACGGCTTGTGTGGACTTGCTCATCCTTTGTTGTAACTAGTTTCACTGAGACACAATGCACATACTACAGAATTTACCCACATAAAGTATACAATTCAGTGTTGTGTTTTTTTTTTTTTTTAGCACATTCGAGTTGTGCAACCATCACCACAATCTAATTTTAGAATATTTTCATCACCCCTAAAAGGAACCCTGTACCCATTAGCAGACGTTCCTTATCCCCCACCCTTCCGCCCTCCCTTCCAGCCCTAGGCAACCACTAATGTACTTCCCATTTCTATGGATTTGCCTATTCTGGACATTTCACAGAAATGGGATCACACAATAGGTGATCTTTTGTGGCTAGCTTCTTTCACTTAGTAGAATGTTTTCAAGTCCATCCATGTCATGCGTGTCACTACTTCTTTCCTTTTGACCGGAATCTTCTTTTTGGCACAGGCTGGGGCTGAGGCCGAGGCTGCTGTGCCTCTGAACTGGGGGCAGCTTGGGCACTGTCCCTCACTTACTGCAAACCGCCCCCAGGGCACCTTGCAGCTCCAGAAGCCCCACCCCCACGCCCCGCACCTGCACTCCCTGGGGTGGGGTCTGCTGGCCTCGTACAACTAGTCAGGGCAGCCTAGCGGGGTCTGCCAACCCACAGAATGGCAGCGCCCTGGAGCTGACAGGCACAACCTCTCCAAGATTAGAGGGGGAGACTAGACTCAGAGAGAGGCAGTGAAACACTCAAGGTCACGGGCAGAGCAGGGGCTTCCACCCCTAGCATCACAGGGCTCCAGCATGCTCTGTGGGGCATTCAGGGCCACTCCACACCCCCTCCCACCAGAGCTGCAGTCCACCCTCTGTAAAGAGGAATCAGAGGACCCCAAGACTGCCCCGGGCCCCACCTTCATGCCCACGTAAGGGCCCCAAGACCCGAGATGGAGCCTCCCCGATAAAACCATCTGCTCCTGCCCTAGCTGCCCACATCCAGGTGGGCACTGCCCTTCCAGCGACGGCCCGGCCTGAATTCACATGTGTTCATGCCGGGCCAGGACGCTGCCCGGGCGGTGCAGGGCCCCTCCATCTGGCCCACCCTCAAACCGCACAACTGCACCTACCTTCAGGGCCTGCACCTTCCTGTCCAACAGGCTCTCAATGTCTCCTGCCACCTTTTCCACCAACTTCTGAGGCTCATTCTCCTGCACCTCAAACAGATTCCGGTTGTCCTTGTAGATCTAGAAGGAAGCAGAAGCCAGTGGTGAAGCCGGGGCGGTCTCACGTTCCCATGCCACAGTCCCCCCCCCCTTGCATATCCTCTCTGCCCAGTACAGCCCAGCCCGTGGCCCCGCCCCAACTCTGGCTCTGGCCAACTACGAGAGCATGGACGTCTGCGGGCTGGGCCCAGTGCCCTCCTGAACTTGAAGGAAGGCTCCAGTCATAGACTCCACAGCTTGCCCTAGCTGTGGTTGGTGGGACGGGCTTGCCACTGCCATCTCTGGATTCGGGGGGTGATTCCTCCTCCAGGAGCCATGAGCGACACCCCCCTGACGAGTTTGGAGCGGCTGAGAGCAGCAGATGCGGAAGGGTGGGCTGGAGAGGAGGCAGGGTGTGCGTGTGGGGGCAGATGGAACCTATAAGCACACATTGCATACCACAAGCCTGATGACACGAAGACACTGTCACACTCACTACACAAACCGACACACTCACACATGCATCAGAAACACCTAGCTACTGCTCCCCACGGACTCAGGCATCCATACCCCTTTGTGCTGGTGCTGCCCCAGGGCACTTACAGAAACTGTAGTGGGAAGTCTGGGCACCCCTAGGGGCTCCTCTGTCATTCAGGGCACAGAATATGGGGGCAGCGACCAGGGAAAAAGGCATGTGGGGAAGACAAATCGGCCCCTCTCTCCTCCCTGGGGACCGGGTCTGCGCACACGCGCACGTGGGGGTGTAAAGCTGACAGTCTGCATCTGCATGTGTGAGTGCGTGTGTTATGGCTCAACACACACCCATCTGCGTGCAGGTGCCTGTGTGTTGGGGCTGGGGTGGGATTAGGGCCTCTAGATGAAGTCTAGGGCTTCTGTGTAAGTCACAGAAGCGAGTTCAGTGGGCCTCTTTGTTCCAGGCTAGGGTCTTGGGTGTGTGTATATGCATGAGTGTGCATCGTACAACCCTGCGCCTGTGCCCGTCCAGATGACCCCAGGAGGTCTGTTCTGCAAGCTGACTCCTTCACCGAGGTCACATGCCACCGCTGAACTGCTACCGTGGGGCCATGCCATCGGGCTGTGCAGACACGGAGGGATGCACAGAGACAGAAGCGGTGATGAGGACGAGATAAGGAGGTGGGAGAGGCAGCTGATGAAAGACAGACAGGCAGGAGAGATAAGGTCGGGAGAGTGACAGCGAGACGTGGGGGAGATAAGGCCTCCAGCAGTGGAGGGGGGAGGAGGTGGGGGACCGGGTGTGCCGGAGCCCTGGCCCTGCCGCCCAGCCTGCGCCCAGTAGTCCAAGGGTTAAAGTACCACACAAAGCCGGCTCAGGCAGTCTCCTCCTCCTGCCGCCCCCATCCCTCCCAGCTTTTCTTTTTGTCCTTCTCTTAGAACAAAATAATTTGTGGTGAATTCGCTCCTTCCCACAGAGCAGTGGCGATTAGAGGGTGAGGCGCGAGACCCGGGTGCAGGGCAGGGAAGATGGGGGCCCCAAGTGGGCACCAGGGCCAGGCTGCTCCCTGGGCTCCCGGGGTCATGCCTTAAGGCAGAGGCCCCCAGATGGGAGGTGGTGATGGAGACAGAGGTCAAGCAGGGGCCTGAGCCTGGGGGCGGGGGGGTCACTGGGAAATGTGGGGAGCCTGGAGCCCAGTGCCCTCTGTTGGGGCAAACTGAAGCTCAGAAACAAGAAAGGACAGGTCAAGGCTATATGACTCTGAGTGGCAAAGCCAGGTCCTCCATCCTCCCAGACCTCTCCTTCCCAGGTTTCAGAACCTTAAAGATTTATCTGTTTGTTTGGTTATTTATTTATTTATTTAGAGGGCATGAGCGGGAGGGGCAGAGGGAGAGAGAATCTCGAGATGATTTTGTGTGCTGAGTGAGGAGCCCTACATGGGGCTTGATCTCACAACCCTGAGATCACAACCCAAGCTAAAACCAAGAGTCGATCACTTAACCGACTGCGCCCCCCAAGTTTCAGGACTTTAAAAATACACCCTTTCCTAAGCATGGGCCGCTGCTAAAAATATACCCTTTCCCAAGCATGGGCCGCTGCTAAAAATACACCCTTTTCCAAGCATGGGCTGCTGGCCTGCACGGGTTTAGGCCCCATCTCAGCTACACTGGCTGAAGCCTCGGCCAAGTGCACCCTTGGCCCACTTGCACCAGCAGGGGGCGCAGCTGCCTGGCTTCTCAGGTCAGAGGATGAAGTTCCCACACCTGACTCCCCGGTCAAGGTCATTCCCAGGTGTCCCAAACAGGGCTGTCCATAGCAGTGGCAGCCCCTGATCACAGCAGCCTCCTGACAACTCTCCTCCGGGAGCCCAGGAGTTCCTTTCCACTGGGTCCAGGGTGCCCCTTGCAAACTGGCATGGTGACTGGGCCAGGGCTCAGGGGCCACAGAGGGAGTGGGTCTCCAGGTGGCAGGGTCATACCCCAGGGCTCTGAAAGGTGGCGTAAGGGCTTGAAAGCAGGCACCCTGCCAAGAGTCACCTCATCTCTGAACCTCAGTGTCTGATGGATTAAACGAGGGAAGAGCAGTCCCCACCTTGCAGGCTGATGGAGAACTGCAAAGTGCCCATGCTATTCTTGCCACTGCTATTGTTGAGGATCACCAGAATTCTGCAGAAGGAATCACAGTCCCTCCCTGCCTCCACTCTCCCTGCTGGATCTGCACACTAAGGATTCGAAGCCATTGGCTCCCACTCCTGGGCAGCTAGCTTCGGTCTCCTGGGGTTGACCCACCTCCAGCCCCACCCTCCTCCCAGGCCTCCCAGGGCAGCCCCTCTCCAGCCACCCTGTCCTTGTCTCCAACACCTCAGCCTGAGCCCTGGAGGCTACAACAGGGGGGCCTAGACACAGGGATGCCACTGATAACAGTATAGCCAAGGCCCGTTCTCTTCCCACTCACCCCAAGTACGGGGCCTGTGTGTAATGGGCCCTTGGCAAATGCATATGCCCAATTCCATGTTCAAGAGCAGAGCTCTGGGACCAGCTAGACCTCGGTCTGACTCTTGTATTTCTGCTTGCAGCTGTGCTACCCCTTGGAGTCTGGGGCTCCATCTGCCACACTTTCTTCCTGTCCCAAGGACCCTCTAAGATACCCCTCTGTTCGGCCCTGATGCCAGCATTTGAGATCTCTCCAGCCCATTGACCTGGCATGCCCCTGCAGGTTTCTGGGTCCCCAGCCCATCCTGATGCCCACTACCACACTTTTGCTCATGCTGTCCCTGCTTCCCTTCCACCCTTCCCTGCCTTTCTAAATCCTTCCTAGAGCAAAGGTAGTAAAATGGGCTAGAAGGCGTTTCTGGGGAGATGAGGGCTAAATCCTAGAACTGCAAGGGCTGGTCAAGCTACCAGCCAAGCCTGTCCCCCAATCCCAAAGACAAAACAGCCCTCATTCCTTCTATCCCAAGGGCCTCACCCCTCTCAACATTCCCTTGGACCCGTTCCAACTGCTCCTGTCCCCCGGGGTGGGCCATGAGCTGGGCCCTGTGTCCCAGGGAGATCTGAGGGATAGAGTTCAGCAGATGGTCCCGCCCTGGGAGATAGGTCATGTCTTCACTGGTGCTGTCTGAGGAGGTGCTTCCTACCTACAGGCCCAGCAGGAAGCCTGGGAGAGCCCAGGGCAGACAGCATGCCCAGGGCTGGCTCTCCTAGAGCCCCAGCCTCTAGCTCTGGTCCCTGGGGCCAGCTTGGATGCAACAGACAGGCCAGGGGTACACCGGGTGCGGGGCACGGGCACCGGGTACACTCAGCCACCGCAGCAGGACTGCACGCCCGCCGGTGCCCTTGGCCCAGCAAGCTCATTGGAAAAACCCAACAGCTCCCACAGGAGCGCAGCCTCCGAGCCCCCCCCGCCCTCCGCCACTGCACAGGGCGCTGGCCTACAGGTTGTGGCAGTTTGACACCAGCCATGATGGGGGAGGGGGAGGCAGGGGCTCCGTTCCACAGAGACGGTGAATAGTAGTGGGACAGGCCAGCAGACTAGCAGCCAAGCTGGCTGGAGCCAGGGGAGCATGTAGGGGAGGGGCGGGGTAGGGGAACAGGGAGAACAAGGGACAGTAATTCAGGAGGCAACTTGCAGCCCCTCGTTCCCAGGAGTCCCTGGCTCCCCTCCCTTGCACCCGATACCTGTGGCCTCCTCCCCTTGCGGGCACCTCCTCCCGTCAGTCATGGAGACCTGTCCGTCCACCTCTTCCCTCATCGCCTCACCTCCCTCCCGGTTCCCGCCCCCACCACCAGGTGCGGGCCCCAACCCCAACCCCAGCGCTCTCTCAGCTCTAGTGATTCTTTAGTTAAGCAACATTTCCAGCCAGCCTTTCGGCCTAAGGATTTCCAGGGCTTGTGGAGGCCCCAGAACCTCAGCCCAGCCCCCCTGCGTTCCTGGGTGGCTCCACATAAAGACGAGGTGAACCTAGAGGACACGTGGAAGAACGGCGACCTTGGACAGGAAGCCCAGGGATACACAGGGGGGCGGATGGAGCCAGCCTCACCCCCACAGCTCCCAAGAGTCCTGACTAGGAGTGGGGTCAAGTTCTGAGGTACCTGGGAACAAAGAGCCACCCCAGGAGACAACAGGCCCCAGGACCAGTGACCTGGACAGCACCCCCGTCAGACTGGAGAGAGGCACGTTGCTAAGTCCCAGAAAGCCGGCGGCAGTGGGGCCTAGCCCTGAGCCAGCACCCAACCTGCCCAGCGAGAGGAGGAAGGTGAGGAGGGGAAGCAGAGGAGGGCAAAGTCGGGAAGGAGGATGGAGGCCCCAGGAACGGCCCTGTTCCCCGAGAGCTGGCTCTGGCCACCCTGGGGCAGATGTTTTCACACTTGACCTCACTGATCCTGGACAACCCGAAGAGGGACTCTTCATGCCCATTCAGTGGACAGGCCACTGAAGGCCAGAGAGCTGAAGTTATACAGCAGAGCTCAGATTCAAACCGGATCTATCTGACCCCAAGCCCTTGCTTCAGGTCCCACTCTGTGCAGTCGGGTTTCCCCCACTTATTCCCATACTTGAAGGTGAAGGA